CCTGCAGGTGGATGCTCACTGCCACACCTGAGGCAAGCCATTCTCGCAGAAGGTTCGGAAGCGCAACAGCTTCGTGTAGTGGTGCGCACAGCACTGACTGCACTGCCAGATGATCCTGCGCTTAAGCTTAAAGCCCTGAACCAGGCTGTTATCCCGCAGTGTGCCGCCATGTTTCCACGCAAACCAGCCAACAGTAGACGGCCGCGAGACTCACCTCTCGTCAAAAGCTGCGTAGCAAACATGTGGCAGCAGCATCGTGCGCTGAAACGCTTTGGGCCGAGTCCGGACAGGACACACATCTGGGGAGCCTGGCGACAGTATGCGGCCTTTAAGGCAAGTGTCAAGCAACTGCAGAAAACCAGTAGACTTGCTAGGAAAGCCCATGTCGAGACTCTTATCCAACAAGCTGAACAGGCGTCCCAGAAACAGGATCAAGCTGAGGTCTATCGAGTCATTAATCAGCTGGCCCCCAAAAAGCGTGTTGAAAAGGTTCGGATCCGGTCAGTAGATGGCAAGCTTCTGGACAAGCAGCAAGAGTTCACGGCAATCTACGAATACTTCAGCAAGGCTTTTAGTCGTACTGAGCAATATTCCCGCCCCTCCCTCAGCCCGCTTAGCATTACACCCGCGGAAGTTCAACATGCCATTAAGCTGCTCAAAAATGGGAAGGCGGTTCCACCTGGTAGCATGCCGGCAGAACTCTGGAAGCTGTGTCCGGAAGAACTCTCCGAGGTGCTGTCGACTGTGCTTGCAAGCAGCGAAGAGAACGACCAATATCCGGCCGAGGTTGTAGATTGTTCCCTTAGTCTCCTCCCTAAGCCCAACAAACCCACCCGCCTCCCGAAGGATCTTCGACCCCTAGGCCTCCAGGACCCTAGTGCCAAGCTGCTAGCGGTCGTCCTCCGCACACGTCTGCTGGACATTGTCCAAGAGCGATTGAGGCAGATCCCACAATTTGCATACTGCCCTCAAAAGGCGATCGATCAGGCAATTTCTAGGGTAGCGCAGCATTGTCATCGGGTTAGAGAGGTTGTCAAACATAGCACGGTTAGCACCCATGACCGTCGGGAGGGTCTCATGAGATCCCAATGCACAGGGGGATTAATGATCAGTCTGGATCTTAGCCGTGCCTTCGATCTCCTGAGCAGATCCGCCTTGGACGGTTCACTTCAGGCGGCATCAGTGCCAGAGGATCTTCGAGCGGCCATTCTTGCCATTCACGAATCATGCAGATACAGTGTTGCACATGGCACGTACTGTGATACCTTCGACCTACAGGTCGGAGTCAGACAAGGTTGCGCACTCTCACCGCTACTGTACGCATTGTACACGGCTTGGCTTTTCGAACGCATAGCCTCGGAGACCTCTGCGCACTGGGCCCAACACTTTCTGACGATTTTTGCGGATGATAAGCACTTGGCTTGGGAGGTCACCAGCATTGAAGAGCTTCAATTCGTTTGTAAGTGCGTACAGGTCACGTACAGGCTCCTGCAGGACAGCGGAATGCAGGTAAACCCCGAAAAGTCCAAAATAGTGGTGGCGCTTAGGGGGAGTGCTGCTGCCAGGTGGTTGCGTAAACACACGCAACGCACACCAGAGGGCACCTTTCTCGACCTGGGCACTCCACATCAGCCACTTAGGATTCTTCAGGTTTCGCAGATTGTCTATCTAGGAGTTGTTGCGAGCTACACAGGGTTCGAAATGCAGACCTTCAAGCATAGGCAACGTGCAGCAGCTCAGAATCGACAACGCCTGCTGAAGCTGCTTCACTCTCGAGTGCTCTCGCAAGGCCAGCGAGTTCGCCTCTACCGAGCTTGTGTTGTCAGCTCTTTGTTGTACGGATTGCATGCGGTGGGTATTACTGCTCCGGTATTGCGTGCTCTAGAGGCTACAGACGCGAGAGCACTGCGGGCTTTGGTTCGGTCACCCGCACATCTGTATCACGAAACCACGGATAGCATTAGGGCCAGACTGAAGGTTCCGTCCCCGGGTGAGATGCTCCAGAAACTTCTTAACAAGCGTTGTAAGGTTGTTCAGGAGCCTGCGCTGCAAGAGTGGTTTCAGATACAAATCCGTGCACTAACCGCGAAGGATGCTGCTGCGTGTACACCTCCCGAGGTCCACTTAAGTCGCGAAGGAATACCAGGGGTGCCATGTCCCGTTTGTGGAATTGTTTGTGTGAGCCACCAGCACATGCTCTCTCACTTTGCACGCAAGCATAAACCTGAGTATCAGGAGGCCCAAGCTGGTCCTGCCAAGGACCCCAGGTGGTACATGCAGCATGCAGTTCGGGGAATGCCACACTGTCGGCACTGTGACAAGCGGTTCGTTCGGTTTGAGGGTTTTAAAAAACACTTGAAACAAGCCTGTCCTGTGTTACATAAACCTCACAGTAGCCAGCCCGTTGTTGTTAATGAGGATGCAGGGCATGTCACTGAGCCGGAGGTCAAGGTAGCCTCCGCTCAGGAGGGGTCCCATGGGCTTAGGAACCCGACCCCTCAGACATGCCCTCCTGGTGAACCGGAGTCTGTGGAGTCGCTGACAGAGCCTGTGCCAGTGCTAGCCGAGAACCCTGAGTTCCGTCGAATGTCAATGCACAGCTGGCAGAGTGTCCTGCGCAAGCCGGAGTGCTGCAAAAGTTTGAGCACGTACTGTGCCCTCTGTGGGCAATGGGCTGAGCGCACGGGGTTTAAGCAGCATATACGTCTTAAACATGCCGAGTCGCACGCGGTCCATGCCAGGGCAGTTGCACGCAGCACGCAACTTGGGCTTATAGCGATTTCGCCGTGCCGCTACTGCCAAGCCCCGTGCAAACAGCCGGCGCGCCACCTTGCCGCCTGCCCTGCAGTATACCAAGCATCTCTGCTTCCGCTCATCTTTGCTTCCGCTCAGGTCAGCCATGAGCGTTGCCATGGACACGGACGAAAGTCAGAGAGCGGCGGTGGCCCAGACCGAGCTCAACCTGCTGGGACTCCCTCGAACAGCGCCTCCAGCAGCACCGAGCGGCCCGATGCAGTCCACACCGTTGGAGACAGCGCAGGAGGACTGGAAGGACAAGGACGATCGGGAATGGCAACAGGCCCGGGACTCCGACTGGCAGTCCCAGAAGTGGCGCCGGCCCTCCTCGAAAGGCACGGGTCGGAATGCGGAGAACTGGTCCAAGCGAAAGTATCCGGAGGAGAATGTCGACCAGCAGGGGACCCTGGACAAGCAGGTGCAGGTCCTCCTGCAGATGATGACCCGGATGACGCTACGACACGACCAGGAACTGTGTCGGATCCGCTCCGACACATCGTTCATGCTGTTCAGCGATGTCGGCGACCACGGCTGCCTTCCGCAGATGAAGGCCACGGCGGAGAACTGGTCCGAGCTGTTCACCCAGGGGAAGGTCACCTGCTCCCTCAAGGTGATCATGATGCTGAACCTTGTCAAGCTACTGAGGGAAGCCTTGGGAAAGGCTCTGCAGGACGAGACCCTGGCCGAGAAGTACCGCTCCCTCTCCTGGCTAGTGGAGGGAGAAAACGCGCTCTCACCGTGCTGGACCTACTTCGAATGGAATCCGGCCGAAAAGAAGGAGGTGCGCTCCCAACAGGCCCCACTCAAGCATCAGGAGGTGCTGAATATCCTCGACAAGATGGATCAGGCCATCCCTCTGCAGGGCGTGCTCACCAACTTCCGCAACACCAAGGGCATGGACCAGGGCAAGGAGAGCGAGGTCATCCCCTTCATGATCAGCATCGGCCTCCGCCACCCAGCGACAGCGGACATCCACGCCGGCCTCGTAAAACTGTCCGGATGCTCCTGCATGAAGCTGGTGGGCTGTCGCCTACGACCGGATCGGGGACAGCGCCCGCAGCTGGCAAAGCAGCTCGAGGAAGCCTTTCAGGCGACGAGCTTCTGCGATTGGGCACCTCGGCGCGCGAGGTAAGTGGCCCAGGTCGGCCGCTTGCCACTGCCGTGTCTAGGTCGACACGGCATGCTATGAGCGAGGGACCCAGATATCCCCTCCCTGCTGCACAGTTACGCAACCCTGACAATCTCTGCTATGCCAACTCAGCGCTGCAGGCCCTATATTGGACGGGCGTCTTGCAGGGGCAGCCTTCGGCCTGTTATGGTGCCATACAGGCTGGCATGTCAGCTCTTGCCAAATCCGGACACCAATACCTGCCCGCGAACCTCCACCTTCAGGTCATCTTTCGAGGATGGCCCAGCCTGCACAGGCAGCAGGATGTGGTAGAGTTCCTGCAGCATGTTCTAGACATAGCTCAACCTGCCGTGTATTCGGGTATATGGGAAGCTAGACTCACGAACCCGCACACTGTCACTGAAGCAGGTCGGCTGGCGTGCCCCTTGATGCTGCACTTTCCAGGCCGTGATCTGCAGTCCATGATTCATGCCTGGCATCATCAGTACTCCACGCATGCGCTTGTGTCACACTCTGGGACCGTTCTGCTGCAGCTCTGTCGGTACACAGACACAGGCACGGGCACTGCTAAGACTCGGCAAGTGCTACATCTTGCAGCAGGTGACAGCGTCCAGCTTCCTGTCTTTGCTGAGCCGCAGCAAGACACTGTACGATGGGAGTCCTTTAGGATCATTTGGGTTCTGTTTCATAGAGGCTTAAGGGTCACTGAGGGGCACTATCAGGCTGCACTGTGTCTCCCAACCAGTGAGGGCTGGACCTTTAAAATCTGTGATGACTCACGTGCCCCTAAAGCTCCCACTGCCCGCGACATGCAAAGTCTAGACAGGGATGCGTACCTGATTGGACTCCTGTCGGCGGGAAGCTTTTCTGAATAACAGCGCACAGTGCGCGGGGAGGACTTTTCTGCACAAGCCGCTGTCCTCTCTGCGCTGCATGCTTAATGCTCGATAGTTCTGATGCTGTCGCCGAAGCGCCGAATCAGCAACCGGAGCCGTCGAAAACACCGAACTCAATCCGTTAGTCTGTCTGTGTGAAGCTGCAGTGCCTTCATACCGGCCCTCGTCCTACCTGTCGCATGGTGCTGCTTAGCTGGTTCAAGCTTCTCGGTGGCCCAGGTCGGCCACCTGAGATATTGTGCCTAGGTCGGCACATTTGCTGTCCTGCGGTGCCCTTGGCCACGCTCCCAGCATGTGCACTCTTCGTGTCTCAGGCATCTCCGCATTGGCTGTCCTTGCTTTGTCTGTTCTCCTGCTCATACAGCAGTAGTCAGCTTGAGGTTAATGGCCTGGGTCGGCCATTGCCTAGTGCCCAGGTCGGCACGTTGTCACGCATGGCTGTGAAGCTTGAACTTCCTGGCGATATTTACTATGATGCTCTGGAAAGCTATATGCTCACTGCACAGCTTACTGAGCTCATGCGATGGCAGCAAGCAGTGATACCGGCCGCACTCAGTCTGACAGCCAGGAATGATATCTTTCGGTACGCGCGTACTCTGCTTCGGCCCGAGCTATACCAGCTCTTCTCGCGCTACTCTGAGCAGTACTCGCGCCTGGTGCCATGTCCGATGCCTGCTGTTTTGCCTCCGCCAGATGACCTCGCCAGTGAAAGGCCCAGCCTAGCGGAACAGCATGCTTGGATGCACCTTCAGACTGGTGGTGGCTCGCTTTGGGAAGCTGTGCGACAAACAGTGGCCTTACTTGATTTCGAGGCTCCAAGGCAGGTCATGATGAAACAGCATCGTCAGGCCAGGAGCTTTCATCTTGGAGTCTGTGCACGCGGACCTTTGATTGGCATTTGCAAGGCAACGCCGCTACACCACAACGTGTGCCGTCTGCTTACATGTCTGGTCAAGCATGTACATCCCGAGCACAGCTTTACAAGCCTGGCTGTCAACGTCAACTATTTCGCTCCGCCACACAAGGATACCCAAAATGGTCCGCAACACAACCTTATCATCAGCCTCAGCCAGCAGGACCATGGAGGCCTTTGGGTTGAGGATCCGCAGGGCAAGATCTACTTGGAGCATCAAGGCGAGCTTCGACGTGGCGAGCACTTTTCTCTGCTTGACCATGCCCTGCTTTTTCCGGCTCATCGCAATCTGCATGCCAGTTATCCGGAGAGGTCGGCTCCTTTAGCATCCGAACTTGATCGGTTTACGCTGATTGCGTACACAGTTCGCAATTGGACGAGCTTGCGGGCACCCATGCGCACGCGCCTGCAAGCGGTTGGCTTCGACCTGCCAGAGGATGATGGCCCCAGCCAAAGCAGTTTGCCTCCCATGCTCCTGCCCACGGTTCTGATCTGAGAGTGGCAGCCAGTACGGAGTGCTCTTGCATTGCCACCACTCCCTAAGACCCCTCCCGCTGTTGCCTGTGCTCTAGGATTTAGGGGTTGCTTCGATTGTCCTTAGGACTCTTAGGGTCCTTTTGCGGTTCCTGCAACTTACTCCACGAATGGTAGCGGGACAAACATACCCTCCGATGCAGCAGCTTCAATGCACCATGGGTTAGGCGTTATCGCTATTGCTATGAGGCCTGCGCGGGCCAGTGAAAAGTTGCAGTGAAAAGTTGCAGTCTGCATGCCTGCCTGCAACATTCTCCAGCCAATGCTACATCTGCATTTGTGCCTTGGCCCTGTGCTTCCTGCACCTAGGTCATGGCTGAACGTATGGCAGCGCCTTCTATGGCTGCGTCCTTGCCGAATGCGCCTCAGCTATGCATAACCCCGGGCTGTGGCAGATCTTTTCTCGGCAGGCCACACAGACACTGCTGTTCTTTGTGTGCGGAGGGCATGCACACTCGGCGGTGCAACAAGAAGCAGCGTGCACTCCTGCGGCTTCATATCACGACCTGCAGATTGGCTGGATGCGAGAGGAGGGCGGATGTTTCGCACACCTATTGCTGCTCTGACTGTCGCTACTATCAAGGACGTTGTCATACTATTGGATGTGAACAGCGGCAGCATCTCCTCTTTCAGAATGTGGCGAGCTCTGGGCGCTACGCACCACCACTTGAGTCTTTCCAGGTCCGGTGTGCACTCCCAAAAGGGTGACCTTGGTCACTGTTTTGCCTTTGTGGCGGAGGCCTGGCTTGCGCTGCTCTGGGTTCGACGCACAACAATTTGCTCCCCACGGTCTGCATCACTTGCCCGGCCACCTGCGTGCTGTGACGGGCGACTTGTTGTCGCTGGACGCCGGCGTCCGCGACGCCCTTGCGCTTAGCACGCCGAGGAACGATTGGTTTTGTCCTTGGGTGTGTGTATGCGTCGCCGGCTGGTTGTGAGTTGCTTTCCTGCGACTCTGGCCATCGCGCTCCTGTCTGGAAGCCGCTCACGCGTGCAGTGGGCTTTGGACTTTTGGATTTTGGTGTGCACGATCGCGACGGAACAAAACACAGGGGCTGTCCGTTGTCTGGCGAGACTAGAACGGCTGCCGGAGCCTGGTCTTGGCTCCTCCTGTTGTTTTGGGCAGCTCAGAGCGACGGCTCTTTGTTGCTCCGGACCGGTCGCTGAGGCTCCGTAGTTTGTGCTGAACGGCCAACACCGGCAAAGCCTGTGCGCCGCAGCCCTTTGTAGAGCTTCGCTTTGCTGTTTCACCGCTTTGTTGTATTTTTGCTTAGTTTGTTGTTTCGCTTGTTTGTAGGGACCGAGTGCTACAGCCGTAGTCGACGAGGCCCAGTCAAGCCAAAAAAGGCTAATGGTCGGGGCCAATGGCCAATTCACACTATCAATTGGTCAAGATGATCGCTACACCGAGCTTAAGTCCACCACGACCTATTATGGCATTGTGCACGCCCTCTTCCAGAAAATGTGGGATCACTCGGACATGAATGCATTGCTCGAAACGGACGAAAACTTCGAGATTGTGGCCTCTACCTTCAAATGCATTTACGACCAGTCCTCCAGAAAGAGTGGAGGCCAAAATCGTGCCATTTTCTACCAGCCTCGAGACGGACAAATTGTCCGCAAGCTTCGTATCGAGCATAACAAGGGCGACACGGCCACCTACCAATGGCACCGTCAGCGCGAACTGCGTGAGCAGCGCGAACAGCGAGACAAGCGCTCTGGAGAAGAGACACAGTCTCACACAGACACGCGCCACAGAGACGGTGACGCCTGGAACCGAGGAGGTTGGTGGAATCGGGGATCGGACTCCGGAGCCAGTGGCAGCCGCTCCTGGCATCAGTGAGTTCCGCCCACGACCAATGGTGCCAATGGCAGACTACGCAATAAACCGCGGAGGCCATGCCTGCTTTTCCTCTTCGTCTCTTCCGGAACGGACTGACAGCCCTTTTGCCGGATGCCGCAGCTGTCAGTTGGAAAACAAGCCCTCGCCTGCCGCCGGTCGCGTTACTGCTGCCCTGCTATCCGCAATGCAGAATCACTATCCATGTTCAGGTACATGCAACAATCTGAAGCTTGATGATGCCTGGCAGCCTGCAAACTCGCTTTGGCTGATTACTGCCAGTTAGTTCAAAGCCTGTAGGCCGCCACATCCAAAGGTCTTTGACCTGGGCTGATCAGCTATAGGGTCTGAGTCAGTTTCACACCAAGTGAGTGCACCGCGGCAATCGCCCGCTATGTGCTGAGCCCGCTCGCACAGCGTTCAATTGTAGTAGTAGTAGTAGTAGTAGTAGTAGTAGTAGTAGTAGTAGTAGTAGTAGTAGTAGTAGTAGTAGTAGTAGTAGTAGTAGTAGTAGTAGTAGTAGTAGTAGTAGTAGTAGTAGTATAGTAGTAGTAAGTAGTAGTAGTAGTAGTAGTAGTAGTACTAGTACTAGTAGTAGTAGTAGTAGTAGTAGTAGTAGTAGTAGTAGTAGTAGTAGTAGTAGTAGTAGTAGTAGTAGTACTATTCATTCCGAGCGTCGCACGATCCGAGTGCTTGACGAGGAGGTCAGACCTTTGGTCCGGCTGCTCGTGGCAGCTGTACCGTGTTGGTACAACCCATCTGAAGCAAGGCTACTTATGAGCTTCTTGCCATCGCGACTATACCAAAACTAGCTTGTGAGGTCGTCGAGAAACCAAAACTCAATCCATCTGCTGCAGAAAAGAAGTATGCCCCGTCGCCGGTCCAGTAGCGGTGCTGGAGCTGCCTGAATACTGTTCGATGGCTGTCTGTGCAGTTTGCACCCCGCACACTTCCAGAGTAGCATCATTCGTCACCTCTGTGGTCATGCAGGTATTGCCTGAAGGGACCACCAGAGGCTGCTGCAAAAAGAGCGTTTGAAAGGGTTGCTCTGCAGGCAGTGTCACCAGTTCCATTGGCTGTGCCTCCGAGTTATCAGCATCTCCTTGACTGGAGCCATGTACTCCAGAGCAGGAGTGGCATGGAGGGTGAAGAGAACCTAAACGACGTATGTCGTCGGTTGCAACGGCGACTTGCCTCAAGAGGTCCGTCACAACCAGGCCAACCAATCCGATTGCTAAGTGCACTGGCAACCAAGCCTGCACCTGCGGTGTCCAGGGAGCAAATTGTGGTGCGTCGCAACCTCAGAGCAGCGCAAGCCAGGGCCCCTCCACGAAGGCAAACCGGTGACCATGATCATCCATTTCGAGCGTGCACACCAGACCCAGACTAGACTCAAGTGGTGGTGCATAGCGTCAGAGCAGGGGTGGCATGGAGGGTGGAAAGAACCTCAACGACGTATGTCGTCGGTTGCAAGGCTTCCACGAGGAAAGCGACCTCAGCCAGAGAAGAAGCGACTTGCCTCAAGAGGTCCGTCACAACCTGGCCACCCAAGTCCAATTGCCAGGTGCACTGGCAACCGAGCCTGCACTATCGGTGTCCGATTCGGCATGGCGGCAAGGGCCCGCCTGCCCACTCAGTTGAGCCCGGCCTCGACGTAGGCCATGTAGCCCGTGCGGAAAGCTCAAGGGAAGTATCGACACAACGACGTATGTCGTCAGTCCCACGGTCGGCAAGTGAAAGTGGAGGTCACCTAGAGGAGCCAGCCGCCGCACGCGGCCAGCTGTCGAGCAGGCGTTGCATGTCACGACCACTCGAAGGAAAGTGACTCTCCTTTAAGAGATAGAGCATCTGGTAGTTTCTCTCATTGTAGATTTCCTTCACCCTTGTATATGTATACTGATGATTGTCATGGTCGTCGCCATGAAGATGTGGCATTAAATCGGTGGATATACAAGGAAATTGGAGGCCAGGTCCGAGGCCCCCTTCCCTGAGGAACTCCTCCGCCGCAGCCTTCCAGCGTTCCTGCGCCCAGGGATGCCCCAACCTGAACCAGGGGCGCTCACCACCCGGCAGCTCCTGCGCCTGGTTCTCCTCTCTGGCGACCAACCGATGAAGGAGGACCATCGCTTTTGCATCAACTGCGTCGAAATGCGCAAAGCGCCACAAGCGGGTGGGGAAGTAAAACTTCTTCTTTTGCGACCCGCGTATCCAATAGGCCACGACCGCTCGGAGATCCCAGCCATCGGCGGTGGCCGCAGCTCGAAGATGCCACAGGGCGCTATTCAGCAGGCCCGCGGCCTGAATCGAGAGAGAAGGCTGTGCCTGCATGTCCGCAAGCGGGAAGAGCAGGCGAAAAGTGCCCCTATATGTGCCCGGATACGTGAACATTCGCGGATCAAACTCGCCGCGTCTGGCCGGAAGGATTCCACTCTCGAAGCCCGCCATCAGTCGGTCAGCAATGGTAATCTGGGGTCGGCCCACCAGGGCAGCCGGAACCTTGCATGTGACTCGCACCTCAATGTGCTGACCGTCACGAGTTGGAGTAACGTTGGTGAGCTGCAGAAGTGGAGCGGCCGTAGGCTGAGATAGAGCAGCAGCTGTACTGGCAGCAACACACCACAGTGCAGCAGTGGGGTCCCCTGTGTCGCGTCAACACTCGTGCCGCCTCCCCCAGTAGTGCGCCGTTGGCTGGAACCGGCGCCGCGTCGGCTGCCTGTCTGCAAAGGTTCTCGCACGGCGGTGGGGTCTCGCTTGGGAGCCAAGGACATTTGCACCAAGCTGCCGTCCCGGACTGGAGACTTCCGTCCTGCCAGGGCACGGGGGAGCGACCCCTTGAGTCCTGCAAGCTCATCGAGAAGCAGCCATCACCAAATCTCGGGTCGAGCAAGCTCATACCAGGACAGGTCAAAAACTCGTCCTTCAGGCAGGCGCAGAACTGGGTCGCAAAACTGAGCCAATGCGACAGACACTGCCAGCAAGGGCGTTAGACAGACGCGAAAGGCTTCGCTATCAGTGCAGCGTCGCAACATGAGGGCCCGGTCAGCGAAATCCACCACCTTCACCCCAAAATTCTGAGGGCTGAGTTTGACTTCACAAGCGGGCAGGGACAAGGGGAGGGAAAG